CTGTATGCTTACATTAAGTTTGTATGACAACAGTGTACCTTTAGAGGTCTTTGGAAGATTAAAAGAAGAATTAAGTGTGGTACTTCGAAAGCCATTGGAAAGCACTTTCTAAAGGTTGAGATGGTTGAAATTTATTTTAATGTATGCATGATGAGACTATCGAGAAATTATTCTTAAGTTCTATCCATCTGTGTTCTCCCTCTAAAGTGCAGTGAGTGGGGACGCCTAGCACGAGGCAGGAGAGATCTGGGAAGTGACTGAATGGTCACAAAAGTTCTGCTGCAGAACTCTCATGTGCAAATGTGTAAAGCCGCGCTGAAAAGACCATCAAAATGTCCATGCTAAGCATCAGCTGGCTATCAGTGGCTGCTGTGGTTTTCTCTCTCTTCATGCTTCACTGCTCTAGCTGGAGACATCTGCAGTCTTACCTTGGAAACAACACTTCATAGTTTGTGTTTTAGCATGTTTGCAGGCTTAAAAACTAAAGTGTGTTAAGACCCAAAAATTGTTAGTTCATGCCACCCTGGACAGGTTGTTAAAACTGCTGTTTTGTGGTTGCTACCTGTGGAGTCAATTTAATCTTTAAAATAATAAAAGGCCCATGAAGATTACATTTCTCTTGATTCAAAAAGCCACTCACATGTGAATCTTTATTGACTTTTCAGTTTGTTAAATTTAATTTTTACCAATGTCACCTGTCTTTGTTGTCCGTATTTAATTTGTATTTAAATTCCTTTTATTATATTTTATTTTTAAATTTAAATTTAAATTAGAAACAAGGTTGCTTCACATGTCAAATCCAGGTTCCTCTCCCTTTCCCTTCCCTACTCCCATGCCTTCCCACCAACCCCTCCAATATCCCCTCATTTCCCCAGGGAGGGTGAGGCCCTCCATGGGGGCATCCATAGTCTGTCATTTCATCCATGGCAGGGCCTAGACCCTCCCCCAAGAGTTCAGGGTGAGAGTGCATCTCACATTGTTGGATGTCGAGTCCAAAGTCCATGTGTATACTCGGGATGAGTACTGATCTACTGCCCAAGGCTCAATAAATTACCTAGGCCTCCTCACTGACACCCCTATTCAGGGGGTCTGGATCAGTCCCATGCTGGATTCCCAGGCATTAGCCTGGGATTCAAGAACTAACCCTTGTCAGGTCAGCTGTTTCTGGGGGTTAAACCCGTCCAGTCTTAACCCCTTTGTTCATCAGTCCTCCCTCTCTGTCACTGGATTTCTTGAGTTCAGCTCAGTGTTTAGCCATGGGAGTCTGCCTCTGCTTCCATCAGCCACTGAATGAAGGTTCTGTTTCCTAGACTCTCTGGCCCTGGGATTGTAGGCTGGCACTCCCCAGATCTATTTATTTACATGTCAGCAACCATTTACGTGTATGATACAAATACCCTTAGTAGGAATGGGGACTGGGAAACCTGAAGTGAAGTTTCTGTGCTTGTTTATAGCCTGTTTTTCTTAAATTATCCCATTTTCCTTTTGCCTCTGGACTTTCCCTTTTCAAAGTCTATATACCTTTCTTTCCTTCTTAGTCTGAGGCTGATTGTGTGGCTGTGTGATTGGCCCCGGTATCCTCCTCTCCTTTATTCACTCACCCGTCTTCTCTACTTTTCTCCTTCCATTTATCCTCTCTACCTGTCAGCCCTACCCATTTCTCTCTCCTGCCTAGCCATTGGCCATTCAGCTCTTTATTAGACCAATCAGGTGTTTTAGACAGGCACAGTAACACAGCTTCCCAGGGTTACACAAATGCAGCACAGAAGAATGTAACACATCTTTGAGTCACTAAACAAATACTGTTGAGAGCCACCATTAATACTGGATTGCCCAAGTGGCCAAACCTCTGGTCTGTGTGAAGAAAGCCAAGGTGGCTGTAAGAGCACTTGAGAGATCTTAGTCCAACAATCTACACTTGACATGTGATCCCCACATGGGCCAGTCGGAGAAACACTGCAGTGACCAATAAGGCAGCACGGCCTCTCTGCTCTCTGAGAGCGTCAGCAAGTGTCCCTGGAGGACAGTCCAACCCTCCAGCTGCATCCCAACCAGGACGCTGCTGCTCCAGCCCTACAGATCGACTGTGAAAGCCACAGTCAACTCGGGGCTTGAACTAGAATAAATCATCTAAGTTTGCCCATTTTCTCAGTCACTTGTGTGTAGAAATTAATTGTGACATAGGTCACGAGCAATTATATTTAACAAATGACTACAAGTTAATTGATTTTTTTTTTACGATGAATGAGGGTAGATGAAAAGATACCCCCACATCACATGCATTTCCGTGTACTTCCCACACAGGGTTTTTAAGGTATGTTATGGATGGGTTCAGGTACCTGACATCAGCCTCAGTACTCTCAGTTGGATGACCTTAGAAGAGGGTTGATCCTAGCGATACAAAGGCTTGTGCTTTTTCTGACAGCTCTAAATGATGTTCAGCTATGTGATTGTTCTTACTAGCCAAAAGTAAAATGTAAGTGTTTCCTTACAAATTTTAACATCATCCCTTTATAGCTAGTGGCTTAAGACTGTACAAAGTTTACTGTGAATATCCCCAAGTATGTATATTGCACATTGACTTACTTTAGGAAAACAACATTAAAGAAATGAGCTTATCAGAGTATTATGGTATAGTGCATCCAAATATTACTTCTTTACTGAATTCTCCCTGTACTACTGACAGCAAACTAACTTCAACTACAATTTGCATGTGTGAGTAAAAATAAATTTATAAACAAAATACATTTTACAGTGCTTCTCCTTTGACTTGATTACTATTTTCTAAATGTCTAAACAAAATGGAACTTTGAAGTTGGCTTTTTTGTGTTAGTTTTTCAAAATGTTACTGATGTATCACAACATAGGGACTTATTTTGCTTTCCGTTTGTGTTACAATCAACATTTAAAGTGAATGGGATAAGCACACTTTGTGACTTTAGCCTAGTCTCTCTCTCTCTCTCTCTATATATATATATATTTTGGTTTGTTTGTTTGTTTTGTTTTTTTTGTTTTTACGAGACAGGGTTTCTCTGTATTGTTTTGGAGGCTATCAGTCCAGCCCGGCCTCAAACTCATAGAGATCCTCCTGCCTCTGCCTCCCGAGTGCTGGGATTAAAGGCATGTGCCACCACCGCCCAGCTGTCTCTACATATTTTGACACAGAAAAATGTGTGGAGATGAAAAGCCTCAGATGACCATGCTGATTCTTATAATCCCAGTAACTGAGGCCTCAGACAAGAGGGTCATGAAATTGGTCTTTTCTAATTGTCAAGCCCCAGGCTACCCTGAGTTATGCAGGAAATCCTGTCTCAAAACCAAAAGAATTTAAAAACTAACCCATTTGATGTCGAGGTGAGGTTATAAAAATTACTTCTGTGTATTAACGTTGAATTTCCAAAAATTACAATTTTTTTTATCAATAGGAGATAACATTTTCCTTTTTTAGAACTGACACTGGTATTAGAAAGAATTTTAGCTTTAAAAGCAATTGACTGTGACAAAGCATTTACTGCCGTGCAAAAGAATTTGCAGGTAGCATCAGTGTGAAGAGGAAGGTAGGTTAGGTGCTGAATAATTTGCCCAGTGACTTAATTATGAAGAACAAGATACGTGTCTCATTCTCTGCGGTGTTCACAGAGTTGCTTCAATATACTTGATACCTGTACTGGTACTAGAACTGCATATAAATAATCAAGTTCTATCTCATTAGCAGTCTGGAGTTTATAGTCATCTGCTTGAGGAAACTCGGAGGTGTAGTTGCCATTTCAAGCGGTTACCTTTGATGGCGGGGTACACGTACCCTGACGTTTCACGCTGAAGTCTGGAATGCAGTGTCAATCAATTTCAGACAAGTTTAGGATGGAGTGGACACTGTTGCTCAGTCGTGGTATGGTTCTGGTTTCTTAGTAGCCACTGATTTTCATTATTTCTTTTTGATGTTTACTCCATCTCTTTTGTAAGAATCTCACGCAGTGATTTGGTTACTGAATTATGACTGTGGTCTTTTACAACCTAATTAAAAATAACTATGAGGTTGTTGCTATAGGAGATAATTTTATTGAATATATTTTATAATTAATTATATATCGATATAGTCAAGTGTCATTAATTAGTCTAATTATAAAATGTAATTACTAGACTAGTCATGGTGGTTTACTGCTGTTTAATAGGCAGGGGTTGGAATTTCATTTGATCTCAGTGATTACTCCAGTCCCTTCCTTTTAGGATATGCTCCCTGTCTTTGTGGATATATTAGATTTGGTTGGCTGGTTCTGGAGCATCGGCTACATAGGTAACAAAAAAGTCCCACAGTCAGCCTTTTGAGGAATAGATGAAGAACAACAAAGTATGATGGATAAGAGGGCGCTAACCTACTGTCTTCAGGTAGCATCCCTTATATTTCTCGCTGCTTAACAAGGCGTGGTAATTTACAAGGAATAAGGTAGTGGGGAAGCATGGTAGTGTATTTTTCAATGACCTTTAAGTTTGAAAATATCAGAAGGTCTGTGGATTTTCAGGCTGTTCTTTTGGGATCTACCTGCTTTAGGAGGTACTAATATATAATCTGTAGGTTTTCATTTTGAAAATGAAAGTAGGGTTAGGGAAAACGATGAGGATACAGTAGCCAGGAAATCAAGTATTAAATGCTGTCATGTTTATTAAGTATTGACTCCAGGATAAGGAACAAAAAAAAATCCTTAGCAGCTTATGACTAGCTACATAATAAAAACTACCCCTCTGTGTAACTAACTTTGCTATCTGCACTTTTAGCCAGCTTAGATACTAGGAAATGCATTCTGGAGAGTTGCATGTGATGTGCATGTTGGCGTCATCATGATGCCATTCTCCTTGGCGAAAAAGATCAGTTCGGTAAACTGTATACTACAGTTTGTCTTGGGCTACTTATGCCATATTGCACTCATTTGCTGCACGTGGAAGACGGACACATGTCTTGTCACGAGTACTCAGCCCTCTCCTTTACCCCCACTGTGTTACAGAGACCCTGGAAACCCTCATCCGCCAAGCAGAGAATTACACCAGTATCCTTTTCTGCAACACCTACCGGAACATGGCCTTGGAGGCGGCTGCTTCCATCCAGGAGTTTTTCACCGACGTAGGGCTCTACTTATTTGGTGCCGATGTTAATCCCGAAGAGTTTGTAAACAGATTTTTTGACAGTCTTTTCCCTCTGGTCTACAACCATCTCATAAATCCTGGCGTGACTGACAGCTCCCTGCCATACTCGGAATGCATCCGGACGGCCCGCCAGGATGTTAGCCCGTTCGGCAATATTCCCAAGAGAGTCATGGGACAGATGGCGCGGTCCCTGCTGCCCAGCCGCACCTTTCTGCAGGCCCTCAATCTGGGCATTGAAGTCATCAATACCACGGACCATATGCACTTCTCCAAGGAGTGCAGTCGAGCCCTCCTGAGGATGCAGTATTGCCCGCACTGCCAGAGCCTGATGCTTAGCAAGCCCTGTGTGGGGTACTGCCTCAACGTCGTCAGGGGCTGCCTGGCCCACATGGCAGAGCTCCACCCGCACTGGCATGCGTACATCCGGTCCTTGGAAGAGCTGTCAGCTGCAATGCACGGGACCTATGACGTGGAGCACGTGCTCCTGAACTTCCACGTGCTCGTCAATGATGCTGTGCTGCAGGCGCACCTCAATGGGCAGAAGCTCCTGGACCAGGTGAGCACCCCCTTTTGTGCGCCCCCCAAACCCCCCTCCAGCTCCCTGGTTAATGTCCTAGAAAGCAGACTAGTCGGGATATGCCCCCAAATTATCTGGAAAAAATATATTGTCACAGGCTTCACGTTTTTAATCAGAAGAGTAAACTTATTCTCTAGGAAATGGCAGCAAGAGGAATGGGTTAGCCACGTCCGATTCCGAGTGTCTCATTATATCTGTTTTACACCAAAAAAAAATTTGATCAGCTAAAGTAACGCTTTACCCCGCTGAGTAGGGCAAGCTTCTCAAGCGGTTGGGTGAAGCTGGAGGAGCCGATGTCTAAGCCAAGAACGTCGATGTGTTTCCCCATGGAAAATCAACCAGCAACATATGAGACGAGGTTGGGGGTGCCAAGTCTCCCGGCCCTCACATCCTCATGGCTCGGAAGACAGCCCTGCAGGTCTCTTCTGCTGCGGCGCGTGCCTTTTCGAGAAGCTGTTATTGAGGCAGACTGTCTGTCTAGCACCGTCTATGAGAAGACGGGCTGCTGCGGCTGGAGGCTTGAGTGTCCTGGCTTCCGAATGGCGAGGGACGGCTTGTTTTGCATCCATGAAGTTAAGAACTTGGTACCTAGGTGTGCACTAGGTTCCTCAGGATGCTGATAAAAGTGGTGGAGTGACAGTCTGTCAGAACCCGATCTGTGCATTCTCTCGTCTTATTTCTAGCAAAATAAGAATCTTTTGAACAGAACAACAACAAAATAAAACACACACACACACACACACACACACACACACACACACACACACACACACACACACACACACACACACACACCCCAAGCAAGGGATGCAAGAATTTTTCTCTTTCTCCGGCTTCTGGTAGAGCTGTTTAAAAACATCCTCAGGCTCTTGCGGTGAGGTGTCTCGTGTTTCACAGAGTGAAATAGGGTGTGCCCTGAGTGCTTCTCCTGCATCGCTTCTCCTGAAATAAAACGAATATTCTCCAGTACCGAGACCATCCATCTTCCCGTACTGACATTGATTTACTGACTTAACAAATATTCTCATCACGAGGCCTGGATGCCAACTCTTCATTTCTGGTAGAGGTTGGATGTGAAAACTTTGGGTTTAACCACACCACCTTCCAGTCCGGTCCCATTCCCCACCCAGTCCTGTGGCTTTTGTGAGCCGCTTCGGTGCCTTTAGAAAATTAAAAATGGTGCCCTCTGGTGGCTGTGTCATCAAGTATTGGCAGTCAGTGGATTTCAACTCCCCAGATCGTGTTCTGCCAAAGTCCCTATCCAATGAACACCTTTATTTTGCCTTTTTACAATGAACGTTAAAAACAATGGGTTTCATTATTCATTATTACACTCTTATATGTGTGTGTGGGGTGCCACTGTATCCTTTTCATACTTACTTTTCAATGCCCTCCCTTCCTCTTGCTCTCAACTTGATGTAAGAAGCCCCGTTTCTCGGTCTTTGCTCCTCTGTTTATGTAAATAAAATACCAGACAGACTTCTAACAGGATTTAACAAACTAACAAGAATTTGTAGTTTTAAAATATGGACAGGAAATATATCCACATTATGATGACCAGTATGTCCTGAAGGAATATATGTGCTAGAAATCTGAGGCCAATCTATAATTCATTTTTTTCTTTATAAAACGGTTTACTTAGTCTATCATTTTTATGTATCTGAGTGTTTGCCTGCATAGTGTATGTGTACTATTTGTGTGACTGTTGTCTGCAGAGGTCAGAAGAGGCCCCTGGGAGTAACCGTCATTGTGAGGTGCCATGCCACTACTGAGATTTGAGCCCAATTCTTCGAGAGTAGCAAATGCTCTTAACTCCTGGGCATTTGTATGCTAGGTAAAATGTTGGGCCAGGGATTTCTGATATACTTAAGAGAATTGACCATTAAGGTCCCTTTTGTTACACAGTTTTGAGAGCCAGAGTGCCTTTGTATCCTTAAAATCCATCATGTAGAAATTTATCTATTTTTCCTATTTCAAAGACTGAAATAGCACAGAACACCAGTGGACATGCGTGCTTTAAATACAGCATTTTCTACCAGTAGCCGAAGCAAAATACTGACAGTGTTAGATCTGAATTTGGCTTGTGTGACAAGGATGGTCGTGGTGGGTTAGGTGGGATAGCGTTGGTCAATCCTGGGAGCTGGATATGTGACCCCTTGCTGTTTTCTTTCCCTATTCAAAGCCCAGCCCTGGGCAAACCTTGGTTAAACAGTTTCTTTTCGTATTTCAAATTATAAGTATCCTGTTTGTGTTTTAAGAATGTATTTTGTAGAAAGCTTTCATCCCAGGAAATTTTCAGGGGACATTAAGAAATGAGTGTGGGATGTTTGCACAAGCCAGGGGACAGGGTCACGGGCTGCAAAGGACACTGCAATCATTAACTCACAGCTGCAGTTACCTGCACTGGGCCTTGTAAGATTTGCCTTGCCTACAGTTATAACCCTCCTTCCCTCCCTGCCTCCCTCCCTGTTTTCCTCCCTGCCTCCCTCCCTCCCTTCTTCTCTCTCTCTCCCTTCCTTTCTCTTTAGTCTGTTTAGCAATTAAGTTTGCTCTTTGACAATTACACACAATAAGGAACACTGACTGTTCTTACTGCCACCTTCACTCATCTCTCTCTTGTTCTGTGTACTCTTTGTGAATCACTCAGTTTACCCAGGACCGTCAGTAATGACCACGTGTTTGGAGCCGTCTGTTGGAATTACAAATCCATCAATGGCCCATGGTTCATTAATAAAAGGGTAGAGTTCTTTACACTTCTCTCCTTACCACGGCTGATTTGTGACCAAACCAGTGCTGTGCTAACCCAGGGAAAATACTTTTGGTTCTGTGTGCCTCTCTCCCTTCCATGATTGACCATTGACAAGGCCAGTGAATTACTGGCTCAAGGGGAGGCAATTATGATTCTGCATTCATGATTGCAATAGTTGTGTTTGGGTTTGAGAATAACATTTCACAGCTCCTCCGCGAATCACCTGACTCTTACATACATCCTACCTTCTCTTCCACAATGCTCTCTGGATATTAGAGGTGGTGTTGGTAGCATAAGTTGTGTTGTAGGACCAAGGGCTGGACTGCCACTTATTTTTAGTATCCTGCATTCATGAGCATTCACTGAAAATACAGGTTTCTGTGATTAAGAAGAGCAGGTGTGTGTGTGTGTGTGTGTGTGTGTGTGTGTGTGTGTGTGTTAGAAACATAGGTAATTTCTGTGATGCTATGTCTTATTTATACAGCAGTGTTGAGTTCATCTCTTGAGTTTCTAACTCCCCATGAACTGTTGTTGTTAACCACACGGATAGTGCTAGGCATGGACTCCCTCCCATGGAATGGGCTTGGATAAAGTCATGCGTCTGTTGGTTACCCTCTACCTGACAGTTGTGCCACTGTTATACACCTGGGCACAACTTACTTGGGAGGTTGGTTTTGTGGTTTATATAGTTCTCACGTGGGTAGGACCATTGCTAATGCTTTTTGCTCCCGTAGCACCCCTGAGAGTATCTTCTGGCACCTTAGAGAAAGTCACTAGGGAGGACATTTCCAACTCAGTAACAGCTCTCTCTATAGCTTACAATGAGGTATGTGGTGGTCATCATTGGCAATCAAGAAGACTGACAGGACATATCTGTTTCAGGAACCTAAAAACAAAAAACAAAACAAAAACAAAACAAAACAAAAAACCCCACACGATTTCATAGAATAAAATTGTCTGATAGATATCTGAAGGAAATAATTATCTAACAAACTGGATTATTTTTCAAATAGAACAACCTTGACCCTCATTTTCATTGATTTGGAAAGAAGAAGAAGAAACTGACTTTAAGGTCCTTGTAAATTGATTCATTAATATTTATTTGTGCCAACTTCAAAGTGATTTATAAACTGTTTATCAAGCTTTGATAACCAGTTCACACATCAGTGATTTCAACAAATTCAAAATAAATTGTTGGGACGTAGCAAATAATGGCTCTCACATTCCCAAAGCAATCTGTGAACTCAAGTACTTCTCTCGATAAATACACAGTCCCTCTTAAAGAAATCCATAGAGGTGCCTGCTGCATCATGTTCTGGTAGGGGAGCCTCAACCTGAAATAAAAATAAGTTCTTAGTTTATTGACAAAATTGTATTGCATACACACACAACTTCCAGTAACAGAGGTATCTTTAGAAAGACTATTCTTTAAATGCTACAGGTTTTTTTCCTGTAGATTACCTCAAAATTTAACTTAAAAATGTAGAAGCAGAGTCAGCAAGAGGGGATGAAATACACAGATGCTTATATGAGGCTGCATCGTACATCTCTCTGTACCATCTTCAAGCACAGTGGATCTCAACCTTCCCAAAGCTGTGATCATTTAATAGCTTCCAATGTTGAGGTAACCCCCAACCATAAAATTATTCCCATTGATATGTCATAACTATAATTTTACTACTGTTACGAATCAAAATGTAAATATCTGACATATAGATTATATATTGATATGTGACCCCCGTGAGAAGGTTGTTTGAACCCCAACGGGGTCAAGACCAACAGGTTGAGAACCAGGGCTCTAGCAGTAGTCCAAACATTTCCTTGTTAGTTTCGTTTGCTCCAAGGTTAAATGTGGCAGTAACAACCCCACATCTGGAGTATCAGGGAATCTTAAGATGAGCACTCCTGCTTTGTGTTGGCTGCGAGGTGTTTAACTCCTACAGCGTTCTTGTCAATTTACCCATGCACTATTGGTAGTGATTTGTCTGGTTGCATCCACATTAATTTAGAATCAGTGTATGATCTACTTTAGAATTACAAGTCATTTCAAATGTCAAGATGGGCTGTGCACAATAATGTAGCTTAATTAGCTGGTAAGAGGACAAATTATCTTTCCATTTTCTAGTATCTTCTCTAATATCTTTCTTTAAAGACTCAAAGTTCTTGTCATACAGGTCTTTCACTTGTTTGGTTAGAGTTACCCCAAGATATTTATGTTGTTTGAGGCTAT